AATTCAAGAATTTTCAAAGATTTGTGAAAATTCCAGCTGTTTCAAGGCCTTGAAAACTAACTTTTCATATTCAAGGGCATTCAAGAATTTCAAGGACCCACATGAACCCTTGATGTAGAACTGACAAAGCAATGTTGGCAGGCACGCTTTCTAATAAATTAAATCATTAGGTGCAAATATAGAAAAACTTCAGACACAGGCACAGCACTTCCCATTCCAGCAGAATCACAGGCTTAGTTTTAAACACAAGGACTCCCGAGAATATTAATTCGTCTAATCATCATAGTTGGCCTGGGCCGCACCGGTTCGATTTGTCGAAGACGGCTTCAGGGGCAGCAATAAGGAAACATGTATTTTTGTTCTCTTCATGTAGAGGCCAATCCTTACATCAAATAACGTGATAATGTGTCATCACTACCTTTTCCCTCACATAGTACTTTAACGCCATGTAATATACCTGCATCCTTACATAATAAAACTATAGTTTTTTTCCTTTGTTTCTCAGTGGCACTTTGCCATGTCAACTTCTCAATTGTATGATTTCAAAAGAATATATTCATTACATGGAGCTGATTTCTATCCGTGAATTTTACTAAAATCTCTATCACACTATTTCTGGAGTGAAGGCCATGACTGCCAGTTCTCCTTCCTTACTTAAGTCGCTCATGACTATGGTCAATGCCTCCAGGAGTAGCAGATTTGTACCTTTTACACTGCTAGCCTGACATTCTTGTAGAACTATAATACCTGGGATTTTACTTTCCAAACTCAGGATATGACTATATCAGACGCCGTAGTGGAGGGCTCCGGATATTTTGACTATCTGGTGTTCTTTGATGTGCATTGACACCGCACACAAGCCTCTGCCGTTTCGCCTGCATCAAAATGCGACCGCCGCTGCCAAGATTAAACCCGCAATCTTTTGAGTCGGCAGCCGAGCATCATAGCCACTGCTCCACCGTGGAGGACATCCTTGTTGATTTGGTCTGCTATATTTCTTACTAAGTTTTATAATTGCGCAGGCTACCCTCAGGGGGGGTTAGGCAAAGCATCCCTACTCCTTATTAACCCCTCCCCCTCCCTACTCTTAGGTGACTAGGCAAAGCAGCTGCCCCCTTGGGGTGGCATTCAGATGCCGAAAATCAAAAGGCCGAACTATCTGAATTCTGAAACACCGAAAAGTCTAAATGCCAAAAATATAAAAAGTAAATAATGACAAAAACTAAAACACTGAAGCATCAAAATGCCGACATTACCCAGCTATTGTAGAAGATACTGTATCGAAGCAACATAAAGGTTCCGCCGGCTTTGTACGAAATACATGCATGTTCGCTCTCGTTTCCAATAGCCATGTTCCCATCGCATATGGTTCAGCCCTTCGGTCGTCGAGTCATTAGACAGCAAACAAGAGGGGACACATGGACATGAAGATAACCGTGAATTTTGTAAAACTGTTCGAAGAGCGGGGACACAGTTTTAAATTTTCCATCCATAAGCCACATTGGTGCTTCCAGACATTTTCGTCCATGAAATAAATGAGAAGTAGAGCTGCATCTGCGCTGGTGACGACCCGTCGCAGAAACTCACGACCTTCTAAGGTTGTTCGGGACTCACGCTCGATGACCCGCTCACGCAAGACAGACGGCCCATGTGGGCAGTCTGTTTTCCTTGTCCTTACAATCTGGAGGAAGGCTTCATCACTCGGTAGGTGTTGCCTTGACGATGCTTTTACATCTGCCGTGGCTTCCTGCACAAGGTTCACGAGGCCCTTGCCCGAGGCCACCACCAGAGCTTTGATCCACTCTTGAGTGCGAAAAACTGTCGCTCTATAGACATTCGGAGCATAGCTTGCATGGACCACTTTTTCACGAGATGATCTTGTGAGTACCTTCTCTATAGAATTACATTCACCTTGCTTCTCACATCTCCAGTAGCGTCTGGAATGTACTTTTTTGTCATGTCACACTTTTTGGATCTAAGTTTTGCTTTTCCCTTTGTTTTGTTTTGTCGCTTATAAGATATTGGTTCATACCCACAAGGGGGATTGGCAACACTATCTCATATGGCAAATTTTTATACAATGCTTGTTAAAAGAGAGAGCGATTGGATTAAAACAAGATGAATAATAACGTGCCTTAAAAAAAGAAAGTGAAAAAGACAAAAGGAACCAATTAACCAGATTTTTTTGTAATTGTAAAAGAAAAAAGACGGAGAACAAAGAATTGGATTTATCTGGCGGTACCACTAGCAGCGTATCATTCCGATTGCCTGAATGAATTTATGTAGCGCTGACACAATAGCCCTGCGGCCAGCACCCGACTGGCTCGAAACAATAAAAGGGTGGATGTATTAAATGCCCATTTCAGCATACCAATCAGCCTCTTAAGAATTATTCTGCGGAGTGAGGCAAAACTGTGGCATGAAAAAAGGAAGTGTTCTATTGTTTTTAGTTCATTGCAAACTGCACACTGATTAGTTAATGAAAGTCCCGATTTGTTAAGGTAATATTTTAACTGAGGAACCCTACAGTGAAAGCTTGTTAGGGTCACCTCACATTGACGGGAAAGGCACCTTGCGGTGTTCCATGTGAACTCTAAGAGCTCAAACTTTTCAGATAGTAGGAGTAATGTTTCGTTGTTTTTTAAGACTAAAAGGTGTTTGAACTGTTCTGCAGCAATAAAATAAAACTGGAGCAACTAGTACCACTGGGAAACTTAAAGACGCCAGAGCGAGCCAGTCAGTAGTTTCATTTAGTACAATTCGTGCATGCCCGGTACCCAAAGAAACCGAACTTCTGATAGGCTACGCGGTACGAGGGACCAAAATATCCCGAGAAGAGGAGACTGCTTGGCTGACGTTAAATGCGTACAAACAGACAAGGCATCCAAAATAATAATAGCTTTTGCTGAGATAATAGATTGCTGAGAAATTAGTTTTCAAAAAGCCAATGTAATTGCCAGGAATTCTGCAAGATAAATTGGGGCAAAGTCCGAGCGCAAACGACCAATTAAGCTGATGAGAGAAAATGCCTACTCTGGACTTCTGAAGACTTTGCATTGCATCCGTAGAAATTACCACATGAGTAGGAAAATGAATGAGATAGTTTTGAAAGAGGCCCTCCAGAACGTGCTTTGGAAGTAACTTAGCATTTTTAGGAAAAATGTCATCGAAAGCTAAGTCAACTGTATCGAGCAACTGTATCGATCAGGTTTGTGGAGTTAAATTCTGAAGAGAAACGTGAAGATTTGATAACCGAGACCTCACGAAAATGACTTGGGGTCTTTGACAACGATACAATAGGTGCTTGAAGAAAGAATCTGGAGATTTGATGAAAACTGTCTGAGAACAGGAGAGGGGCGCATTGTAGAGCTTTAAAAAAATTTGCACGGTAAGCTGTCAAAGTCTTGCATTAAGTGGAATAATTCGAGCTTCCAAATAAAACACGCTATTCGCAACACACCTAGGTAGCCCGAGACACACCCACAGTTGCCTTTATAGCAATATTACAGGTCTTGTACTTAGCACTTCCAGAAAGAAGAACGCAACCCAACTCCACATTAGGGCGTACATAAAGTTTGTATATTATAAATAACATATCCCTACGCATCCCTGCATTTTTATTGCAAAACCGGCGTAACAATCCTAAGGCGCTTTCTGCTTTACGGGTGTTTGATCCTATTTGTTGCTGCCAATTTAAATTGTTTACGTAAACAATGCCTAGATATTTTGGTGCTGTTACTTGCAGAATCGGATCATTCTGATAATGCAGCGAAAGAAATATGGGAACGAATACAGGAAATACAAGTAGAGCTCATTTGCTAACATTAAGCGAAAAAGACGGTTTGCCAATCCATGCCTCAAGTTCACTAAAGTAAGACTAGGATTTGATAAAAAGTATTGATATCTCGGGATGATTAAAAAAAAACAATATCGTCGGCGTAGACGTAAAGAGGAACATTTTTGTAAACTGGAATTGATGATAATAAAATATTAAATAAAACAGGTCAAAGAATTGACCCTTGCGGAACACCCCTTGGTTGCTTATATGAGGCAGAATTAATTCCCTCGTGGTAACAACAGAATTGCCTCTCGAAGAGAAACTCTCGAATTGATGATAATAAAATATTAAATAAAACAGGTGAAAGAATTGACCCTTGCGGAACACCCCTTGGTTGCTTATATGAGGCAGAATTAATTCCCTCGTGGTAACAACAGAATTGCCTCTCGAAGAGAAACTCTCGAACTCAAGATATAATGTAATTGGGCACATCACAGCTCACTAATCTAGAAATAAATATACTGTGTTCAACACTATCGTAGGCTTTTGCAGTATCTAATGTGACTATTGCAGAAAGCTCACCATTTACTTTTGGAAGTGGAATTAGGCTTTCCAAATCAACATGAGCCGAACATATAGAGCACCCCGTCTAAATCCTATTTGCCTTGGCGAAAGAATACCCTGACGAGAGATAAATTCACTGAGCCTGCTATGAAGAATTTTTGAATTATTTCAAACAACACAACAGCATCTTCTCCAATTTCCATGGAAATGACAACTCCCTTACATTGCTGTTGAATTTGAACTCTAAACACTGGACAGCGCTGCTATTTTTTATTCTGCTTATCCATAAGAGCCACCCTGTCCAACTGATATGCCTATAGCTTCGCAACAGCTAACACCTACGAAATTTTACATCACTTTAGTATGCTGATACTGGTACATTTGCAGAACAAGTTACAGCTAGAACAGGAGACAGTGACACGGCGGAAGACGAACAAGTGGCAGTCACAATTTACAAAGCGCGTTATTTATTTTTCACATGGCTCGATAAAAGTTACTTCATGTGGTTTCGGCATTCTCTCTTCGACATTTCAATTTTTCATCGTTTCGACGCTCGGCCTTTCTTATGGCTTTCATTAATGTGGTAGAAGTCATTAATCTTGCCCGCAATACCCATGACCACACGTGACACACAACAAAAACATGATTCAAAACTTACGGCTGAGTGTGCTGCGAAGATCCACTCTGCGTGACGTTTCAGCATGTCAAATCCACGGCGATAAAACTCAAGTGGTAGCAGAATTTGTCCAAGGCGATGCTGATTTTACTTATCACTGTAAAAGACAAAGACCGAGAGGCAAAATACAATGAGAGCACACGAGAGACGCACAACAAAAAGTTCACTTTTTTCGCTAGCACAGTAGTCAACTTGAAGGATGCATTGGCTGCATTTCTTACCGCGTACGTTTGCTGGTCGCACCAAGTTACACTTCAGAAAACGCGCGCAGATCGTGAGAAAAAAAAAAAAAACGATCAGACCGGAGGAGAATGAACCACGGAGGAAGGAAAGGTGAGAATGAACGATCTAGCCCTGGAGAACCGGTGGCCCAATGTTGCCAGCGCTCGTCCGGCGCATGCGCATAGAGAAATAAAAAAAAAAAAAGGCATGCGCCAGTACAACGCCTCCTCTAGAAAGATGCCTGAGAAATGGCTCGCGCTCCAGACGAAGTTGGCCTACCTTCAGTTTTCAGCAATTTTCCGCGCAATGGCGCTCGCGACCGACACTATCAATTATGAATTAAGAATAGGAGAATATTCTCCTATTCAAGATTAAGAAGTCCGCACTAGAGATCTATCAAACTTTTAAGCAGTAAATTGCCAAGGAAAGGATCTATGATAATACTCGGGGTAATTCTCTACTGTTTGAGGCCAGGACGGGAGTATTGCGAACCAAGACATATCGGGCCAAATACGATGAGGTAGACACAGTATGCAGTGCGTATGGAGAGGAAGAAGAAACTGCCGAACACTTGATAATGTTCTGTAAAGGGCTTCACCCTATAGTTCAGGATGATGGCGCAGAGTTTTTCAAAGCACTGGGGTTTAGAGACAGGGAAGGCAAAATAGACTTTAAGCGGGTAGACTTAACTAGAAGGAGGTTATCTGATTGGTGGTTAAAGTCAAGGCACGAGTGAAAATTATACCCTTCACTGCCAAGTGCGAATCCTTAACCTGACTATTTAAGGGGAAAAAAAGATAAATCTAATGGTTAGTTCACTAAGTAATATGGCTAGGTGGCGTTAGCCGCTGCCCGATGTAAAGGGTATAGCCACATCCACCCATCCATTCATCATCACGCGGTCATAGAGTTTCCAAGGAGGATAGATAAAACTTGCTGGAGTGGAAGGGGCGCTGTGCGAGTGAAGCCAGCCGCCGCCATCTTGCCAGTGGCAAAAAGCGTGCTCAGCGCCCTCGCGAGCTGCTGATTTCGTCCGTTCTTGTTTCACCTTGTCGGCTTGTAAAGACAAATGGTTTACAATGGTTGCCTCTTGCGCCATTTACGGATGTGCCAACAGTTTGAAAAAAGGTTGTGGCCTCACATTCCACCTGTACGTACACGAAAACGTCTTCGACATAGCCATTCCGCGCTCGTTACTAAAGGGAGCTATAGCTGACGCGATCCAAGCGTGCAAAACATAACAGTCCGGATTTGTTTTACAGGTTTACTAAAAATCCTGTAACGCGGAGCCTCTGCGAGTGGGCCGTTCGCCGTGAGAAGTATAATGCGAAAGACTGAGATCACTTCGCTCTGTGCACTTCGCGCCAGAGTGCTTTGACCGTGCACCTCTTTGACATTGAAGGGAAGCATGTGAAATGGGGTTATGAAGTGGCATTGAAGGCACTTCAACGTGAAGAAGGGTTGTGGCTCGGAAATAAACTTACGAAAGTCCACGTCCAATGGGAAAAGCAAGAAAATGAAGGTGTGATATGCTGTACAGCTGATCGAGTGCCTCAGTTGCCGACGCTTTGGACTTCTGCGAACAAAAGCTAAAGCTGCCGCAATTCAAGGGTGCCAGCACAAGATTTACGTTTATTAGAACTTTTGATGGCTTGTTTGACATCTTAAACTCCAGGAACCCGCTGGCAAGGTCGTACAAAGCGCCTCTTCGGCAGGGGAACGAATCATTCTGGAAGTCGTTTTTCTTTTTTTTTTTTGTGGAGACTCGAGCGTACATAAACGGGCTGAGAGATCCAGCAATGACAGAAGGACAGAAAAAAAAAACGGATTCATTGATTTTTGAATACGCATGGAAAGCACGGAAAGAATGTTTGACAGACTTGACAGCCAGGGTGAGCTGAAATACTTACTGACACACAAACTCAGTCAAGACTATGCCGAAAACGTCTTTGAATCAATACGTGGATGAGGCGGCCATAATAACAACCAAACAGCTTCGCAGTTTATACATACAAGCGTCTATTGGTTCAGACGGAAGTCACGTCTTCAAGTTCTGGACACTGCTCCCAAGATGTTCTCTCCGTATTGAATGCAACGACTCCTGCTGCCATGGTACATCCAAGAAGCAATCTCACTGACATGCGCTAGGCCCCAGTCCTGCAGCTCGATGACCATGACAATCCGCATCGCATTGACTAGCCCGAAAGCTTTTCTGCTTTTGTCGGTTCCGTGGTGCCATACATAGCAGGCTTCACTGTTCGAAAGGTCGAACTGCAACTACCTGTGAAGAGTGCATAGCAGCCATGCACTCAGATGAGCTGACGCCTTTAATTAAATGTAAGAGGCGAGGTGGTCTTGTTTTACCGTCGCGAGATGTCATTAGCCCCTGTAAAGAAGTCGAGGACTGAGGCGGCTGCAGGCTGAATGTGATTCCATCACAACGGTGAAGTCAAGAGCAAGACACCTCATCCTGAAAGTTCTATGAGCTTCCTCCGAGAAAAACTGGTTCCATAAACTAGAGCAGCACGTCCTAGACTTTGATACGTTTGATAATCAGGTTTACAGTTTGTGCAGGCAAATCGCCGAACAATACGTAAAAGTGAGGATACAACACATGACGAAGGAAAAAAAAACCTAGAATCGGTCAAAAGTGAAGTGGGACCACTTTTGACAAGGGCAATAATTTTCAACCACCAGTAGGGCACCTATGTTTTCGATTGTGTGTTTGCTTTAGGCATCGCGATTTGATGCATATGCACTTTAATTGAGTTCTCTACATGCCACTTGGCTGCGTACAAGTCGCAATATACATTTACAACCAGAGTTACTTGTTTTCGTTGCTTTATAAAAACACGAGTCACTTCAGCCGCAGCGCGATGAAACATTAAGTTTGCAGCGCTCGGCTCTTTTCAGCCACTGGCAACATGGCCGCCGCATGCTCGGCGCGGCTTCACTCTCTCCCACGGAGGAAGGAAAAAGGTAAGGAGAGGGCATGCCCAGCCGGCGCAGCCGCGCAGGGCGTAAAAAATGTGGCGGAAATGACATCATGGCGGCCATATACAGTAGGCACAATGGCGGCGTTGTTATGGTTACGTGTTGCGCAGTGAAGCTGGTCTAGCAGTGAGCGGCCGCGGCTGGCGGCGGAATGTGTGCCTCCCCAGGTCTCGTGCTGAGCCGTGGCGGACAATATCGGTGCTCTGCGCCGCGTTATTGGTTACGCAGTGTTCGTCTGGCTGTTACATTACTTTTAGCAAACGTTTACACATCTCTTTGTCCATCACGGGGTTTCAACATTGCGTAGAACAAGTGCATATCCATGTGTCGTGCGGCGGATGACGCGGATGAAGCAGTTAGTGTCCAGCGAAATGGCGTTGGGCACCATGACGAAGCTGAATGACGACGAACGCCTTGGAGGTCAGTGACGGTTGAGCAGTGCTCCTGCTTGTGACAACGGACGACGCTGTTGAGCCCAGCAAGACGCCGTGAGGACCATGTGCACATACGTAGTTTCGTGTTGTGTGTGTACTGTAACAACTTGCATGTGCGTATTAAAACACCTTTTCTGTTCCGCTTGGTACACTCTCCACCAGCATTGCATGTAATCTCAACGTAATAGCAACCACGTTCAACTGTCACTAGCACCGTGCTCAAAGTCACCACGGTCGCAGAATGCTGACGCAGGTGAGTTTCACGCGGAACACGGACACAGTGGCAGGACGCTGCGTCAGTCGCGTGGCGGAATGCAACCGTAGAAGGCGCACGACCGATCGTGTTGTCTGTACAGTTGCTGAATTAATGACGTGAAAGCACTCGCCGTTGTCAGTGCATCTAGCGCGCGTTCTTTCGTAGTTGCTTCGTTGTCAGCGAGCTGTTACTCTTTGTTATTATTCGGACGAAGCGATTTCGCTGAAGGTGTCCCGCTGGCTCTGAGTGATGAGCCCAGTTCCATTAGTTTCGGATCGTCGCGACACACGCGCTGCGCAGCCCACGTGCTTTCCGAGCCGGAGAGGGAGTCGCGCCTTCTGCTTCGCATTCATATGTAAACAAGAGAGGAGAATTTGCCTACTCAATATGGCCAACTTCCGGCTTCACAACGAGTGACGTCAGGGCCTCTCCTTACCTTTTCCTTCCTCCGTGCTCTCTCCCGTAGCGGCGCATAGGCGGCTTCCACTCCAGCAAGTTTTATGTATCCTCCTTGAGAGTTTCCCACAATACTTACTAGAGGGAACTCTGGCGCTAGTGTCTATGGGAGCTGCAACGCACGGTGCTTTAGCGAGCATGGGAATGATGGGTAGTAGTAGTACACACATTTGTCTAAACTTCGTACTTCTAGCCTGATTTTGGCTCCGTGTGTGTTCGTGTGGCTTGGAGCTGTTTTCTTACGAAACAAATATTAGCAATTGTTCAGCGGTTGCGCTTCACCGTTTTATTTTTTTAGACTTACTTTCCAAATCGGCTCAAGAAGTTCAAAAGGGTTCAATCTTTCTTTGAAAACAAAACCGAAACACAGCAATAAACGAAGTCGCAAGTACGATTCGTCGCCCGCAAGTACGAAGACTAGGCAAATGTGTGTACTACTACCCTGGTCTACCCATCATTCCCATGGTCGCTCAACGATCGCAGCGCCAGAGTGCCCTCTAGTTAATATTGAGAAACTCTATGTGGGCGATACCATAGAGTTTCTCAAAATTAACTAGAGGGCAATCTGGCGCTGCGATCGTTCAGCGACCATGGGAATGATGGGTACAGCAGGGTAGTTCACACATTTGCCTAGTCTTCGTGCTTGCGGGTGGCGAATCGTACTTGCGGCTTCATTTATTGCTGTGTTTCGATTTTGTTTTGAAAGAAAGATTCAACCATTTTAAACTTTGTGACCCAATTTGGAAAGGTAATTAAAAAAATAGTGTGGTGAAGTGCAATCGCTGAACATTTGCCGATTTTTGTTTCATGAGAAAACAGCTTCAAGCCACACGAACACACACGGAGCCAAAAGCAGGCCAGAAGTACGAAGTTTAGACAAATGTGTGTACTACCCAGCATTCTCGTGCTCGCTAAGCGCCGTGTGTTGCAGCTCCCATAGACACTAGCGCCAGAGTTCCCTCTAGTAAGTATTGTGGGAAACTCTATGGGCGGTACC